TCATGCACACCTCAAATATTTTATGGGATACTTATTATGTATTTGAATAACTTTGATCATCAATATTTAAATAGATAAAAAGATAAAGTTACCTAATGTTTTTCTTGCTTCCACTGGAAATTTGAATAGGAGAATTCATAATTCTTTTCTGATCACTAGGTCAACCTTATCTGTTTATTAGAATGGATGTTTCTTAATTGTTAACTTTTATTATTAGATTTTTTTTTTATTAATTAGTGAAGAAATTTATGTTATATAATTTTTTTACTTATTTTTTTCACCGAACTAATTTATTTGAAAAATATATGATGAAAAATAGAATCACACTACAATAGTGAGAAGTCTTTTAATTTTTTCGTATAAAAATATTAGTAGTTTTTCTTTTCTCTCTCGTTTTTAAATATGAAAATGCGGAATAACCACCAAATATTTTTGTGTAGAAAATATTGTCCTGTTAAATATTTCAATAAACTGACAAAATGGTTTCTAACAGATTTAAACTATTTCTAAAGCTGAAAGTAACAGTACTCTTTCTGATCGGACTTCTACATCTGCATACATTTTTCAACTTATAATTTTTAAAAGTATTGCTCATAATAGTATTTTGGGAAAAGGGTTAACAAACCTTTGATTACTAGGCGATTTTACTTTTTTTATATTTTACATTCCTTAATCAAAGTTTTGGCTTCGCTAGTGGATATGTTCCTTGTTATAAAAGTGATTAATATATATCCGTACAATTATATAAATGGTTTACTTATTTTCTTATCATTACAAAAGAAGCTCACACATATTCTTTATCGAAAGAAAGTGAAAAAATTAATTTTAAATTAAAAAGAAAATTCATATATATGTGAATATATGATTCTTCTAACAAGATTCAAGATATATTTTAATTTTCTTCATACATTTTTGTTTACTTCTTTGAGTATCGTTATCTGAGTTTCTTAATTTTTTTATTCGCTCTTTAGTGAAAAGAAAAAATTTAAAACTAAACTCTTTTGGGGCTATATTGTAATTTAGTTTTTGTATTTGTCAAATAAAATAAAAAACAGGGCATCTATAATAAATTTAACAAGAAAATTTGTGAAACATAAATAAATTTGACCATCAAAATAATAAATTTAAATTAGTTGTTGAAACAAAAAAATAAAAAAGATATGAGTGAGGAGGATTAAATATACCCCATATGGATTATATTTTTTTCAAAAGAATAATTAAAAGATAAATCAAAATTATTTTTCACCTGTCAAAGATAAAATATATGTTAGTCATTTGTATAATAAATATGATTAGATACGACTTACTTTCATAACAATAGTTATATCAACTCTAAATAACAAAGTTGAAGGGTATACCTATTTGTAGGAAATAAACCAATAGCTTAGGATCTGTTTAATTAAGATTTGTTAGTTAGATAGGTTCTTAATCCTAATTTAATTTGGTTGTTATTATATATTTTTTGGTGTAGTCAGAGATACATTCAATATGTAGAGAACTTTTTAGCCAAATTAAACCTTTATATAAAGTAATTTATCTAAATAATATATTTCTCAAAATTTTTATAAAATTAGTATAAACGTATTTCATAGTAACATTTTAGGGTATATTTCGTTTTTTAAAAACTAACAGAGTTAGGTTGATATATGATACTGTAAGTAATGTTTTACTCCTAAAACGTTATTTTGAGTAATGTTTAACTCCTAAAATGTTACTGCGAGTAACGTTTTAGGAGTAAAATGTTACTATAAGTAACATATATCAATCTAACGCTGTCAGTTTTTAAAAAATAAAATATACCCTGAAACATTATTATGAAATACATTTGTGCTAGTTTTGTAAAATTTAAAAAAAACGTATTATTTTAATGAATTACTTTATATAATGACTTAGTTTGATCAGAGAGATACGTTCAAACACTCAATGAACAAAAATACAAGAGTTATTGAGTTTATTTATTTATGCCTCCTACCTCTTATTTGTTGATTAATAATTTTTTTCTATATAACTATCGTTGGGCTTTTCACTTCTGCTTATATTATTACCTTGAGTAAAAAGAAAGTTTCTCCAACTTAGTATTTATTATTTTTCTTAGCAAAGTTAGAAACATATATAAACTGATCAATGTACGATAGTAATTATATCACCAATAACTTACCATACTCATAAATATATCTGAAATCATATTTAACTTGTAAGAGCCCACAAACTTAATAAATAAATTCACAGTTCAATTGCACATGATAGAGACGTATTTGTAATTGAAAATGGCAAATGAAAATGGATGCCTAAATTAATTTTTGCTCTTGATATCAAATATTAAAGTAAGGGTTCTTGCAAAATAGGTAAGCTAGGGTTTTCTTAACTAATTAGAATTTGTGACGCGTGAGAGCTACTTAAGGTGGAACCTCTCTCGAAAAATATTTTTTTTTCATGTTCGAATTTAAACACTGAGGCATCTGATGATGGAGATATCATATCCATCCCATAATAATATTTGTCAGTCTACTGTATAATTTTCAAGCAAGTGTAATTAAATTGAGTTCCTACAAAAAAATGAATACTTTTAATAATTCTTCTAAAAAAAAATATTGTGAGTATTTGCTCAATTCATTTTCATTTTTTTTTATAGAAAATTAGACGCTAGGACTTGTCGCTGTTATAGGGTCAGAAATTTTTAAAAAAAGGATCAGCAGAATCAGTTGGAGTTACTGTTTAATAGTAAAAGGTGTACGTAAATGAGACAACTAACAGATTTTTCTGAATTATATAAATAAATAAAAAGATAAATCATGATGACAATGATAATAGTTTCAAATTTCAGTAAAATTAAGCTTCTTTAATTTTTTTTCTCAAGTAAAACAATTTTAACGTATATATAAGGTTCGAGCCAAAGCTACACAAAATTCATATGACACCAGTAGGTATATATCCATCATTGTGCATATTTAGAAGTTTACTAAATCAAATATATCATTGGAAATTCCGTTAATATTATAAATTAATTTAAAATCGATCACTATAGGAATCATAAACTTCACATCCACCCGAACATCGTCATAAAAATGATTGTGGCAAACTGGCACTAGAACATGGAAGAGATAGATGGAGCTGCATTTAGCCACATAGTTATGTTAGTCTGTCTGGGATTTTTATGGGTCCATTTGTGATTTTTTTTTTATTTTTTGGTTTGTAATGTCAATATCTCTCAATAGTTCAACTTACATATATGGAGACAGTTCGAATATTGTTTCAAGTTAATCATAAATTGACTAATTTTAGGTTGATTTGGTGTATTGCATTCGAGCAAGCATAATCTGAGAAAAACTTATCCGCACCACGTGTTTACATTAAGCCAGTGCAATTTCTATTATTATGTGATTTAATGAAGTAAAATGAATAATAAATTTAAACACACGATATGCATGTAAGTGCGGGTAAGTTTTACCCCATAATCACTCTAAATTGCCCAGTAAACTTGCCAAAACATTATAAATAGTAGCAAGTGCAAAGAATTTTACTCAATTATAAGATGATATATATTCTCTTCATTTCAATTCGTTTGTCTGGTTTTAACTTGATAAAAAGTTTCAAAAAGTGAAGAAAATCTTTGTAGTGTTAAAGTAAATGCTAAATGTACCATAATGCATGTTTTTTAATCGTATAGTCTTAAACATGTCACATGAAAAGTTGAAATTAAAGAATTACCATAGAAAAGAAAAGAGACATTCTTCTTGAATTTTGGACTAAAAAGAAAATAAGGCAAGCAAATTGAAACGGAGGAAATATAATTGTTCAAGTACTAGACAATGCAAATTAATTTTAAACAACTAAAGTATAACATGTTATACATGTAGCCAAAGTTGGACAAACTCTTCACTTTTGATATCGCACTTACGTTAAAACTCTCCAAAAATATACTACTCTTAGAGAATCTGTCACACATCTATTGTCATTTTTGAAGAGTCCGAGCAACAAATTATCTGTTTTGTAGCCTACTTAATCTGATGGTGTAAAAGATATGTGCACTTGATCATGACCAGTATTTAAACTCTTTAATTTCTTGCAAAAAACATTATCACTTTTCCTTCTCTATTCACTCATATAATATATAGTTGGTGTTTCATCATTCTTCATAAATGATAACCTAATCATGCATTGACAATCATAACTTGGAACATACTTTTCTTAATTTAGAAATTTATGCATATTCTCTATTTCTAACAGTTGAAACTTCTGCTTTTGTGGAGTTTCTTTCTATAGCTATCACAAAGAGAAAAAAAAGTGTGCTAGATATTGAAAAAAAAAAGAATATATGATAAAACACTAAAGTTGATTTAAGTTAGTACAATCCAAATTGCTACCTATGCTATATCTCACTGCAAAAATAAGTGTGGTCCTCTCTGTGTGTGTACAAAATAAGTATTGCTGGTCCCTCCTCTATACAAATATAGCTGTTCTATACTATCAATTATCTCATCCAGCTACTGCACCACAACTTTGTCATCCCCACTAGCTACAAAATCTTAATTTGATGGCATTTATCTTAATTAAATTGAACACAACAAAATTGAAATAACAACTTTTAATGCAATTAAAACTCTACTACTAGTTTGATAAGCTACTTACTTACTTTTCACTAGTGGAAAAAAAAAGTATAGTAACTCCTTTTTCTTTTCTAAAACTATTGGAGGTGGTCCATTTGAAGTTAACAGCCTACCTTACCTTAATTAACAATAACCATCAAATTAAAAAAAAAACTTATAATTACTTCATTTGTGTTGTGTAATCTTGTTTAAATTAATCGATGTGACACATGTCATGATTCTATTGATACACATGGCTACGAATTCGCCATACCTTTATTTATTCCTTTTCCCTTGCCTTAGCAATATGGCATGGTTAAGATTCTAAAACTTATTCTGTAAGTTTATAATTGTGTGTACATAAGTTAGGTTTCTTGCTTCAGAACTCATTCATTTTGATGTGGTATTTATACACAGAAGACTTTAATGCCATTAAGAGATTCTTGTGAGCTGCAAAATCTGACTTGAGTTCAATTTCATCCTTCCTCAATTCCTTATACATAGATATCTTTTCATCCTCAACGCGTCCCAAGAAATAGTGTATCAGATCAACAGCAACAACAACAACAGAGACATCGAGGATTCAGTCTTTTATATATCTATTGGTTAGTCACACTAATTAGCCTTTAATGTTTCATTCAATAATTTTTTTTTGTGTTTCAATTTTATGGATGAAACTTTCAAGTTGCATATACCTAATTGTTAAAATGAATATTTGTGTAGATCAATGATGAAGAAAAGAGTGATTAGTACTTGATCATTATGAACTCAAGAAAGCAAGAAACTGGTTCAGGGGTTGATACCAACAACAGTAAAACAACGTCAACGACTACTGCTACTACTATTCCATCAAGTTCTTCTTCAAGGCAGTCATCTTCATGGGGAGGAGGGTTTAAAAATCCAAGAATAGTACGCGTATCGCGTAGTTTTGGAGGGAAAGATAGACACAGTAAAGTGTGTACAGTAAAAGGATTAAGAGACAGGAGAATAAGGCTTTCAGTACCAACAGCAATTCAATTGTATGATCTTCAAGATAGGCTTGGGTTAAGCCAACCAAGCAAAGTTGTAGATTGGCTAATAGATGCAACTAAAGATGAAATTGATAAGCTTCCACCTTTACAAATACCACCACCATCACTCTCTCATTTCTTCAGTACGAAAGATCATCATAATTTAGATTTCGTTGATACTGGATTATTTGGAAAGGACAGGTGGATTGCTACTACAAATGATCAAGAGAGTAGTAATCATTTGATCTTTCAATCTTCTAATTTAGGCATGTTAAACACCTTCAGTAATAGTTGGGAACCTAATTCAAATTTATCATTAGGTCCATTTGGAAATTACCAAGATCAATATCAACAACAACAAAATATGCCTTTAATTCCTTCAAGTTCTCATCATCAACAACAACAACTATATTTTTGTCCAACTAGTAGTAGTACTACAACATTGTCATCTCTTGTTCCTCCATATAATTCCCATTTCCATCCAAATTCGATCGCGCCAACCCTTCAGTTAACCACTTCTCCTGTGAAATCTTCCTTCAGTTTACAAGATCATCATCAACACAACCATAAAGAAGGCAGTGGTTCTTAAGCATATTATACAGTAAGACATTAATTATTATTCTATATATCTATCTTTTTTTATGTTTATAAACTTTGTTATACCACTATATATATATGTGGTGATTAATTAGTATATATAATTTGTTAGAAGCATAATTTTGCTTACTTTGAAATTATTAAGTGAATGCACTTTGAGTTATAGATTATTCATGTGAATTGTAATCTATGATGATTAGGTGCATCATGTAGTCTTTATATTGTAATTTAGGTGCATTCTTTTGTAATATTTTAAGTTTAGAATCATCATTTAGCATAGATTAAAAAAAAAAAGAAGAAGACCTTTTAGTTTGTAATGTTGATTTTTACAAGTGTGAAGGTTTCCTAATTAATGATTTAAGTGTGTTTAATTTTATGTATATCTTCTTCTTCTGTTCTCTTTTGTGCCTTGTGAGATTTATGAAAACCTAATTAGTATCCCAACATAATATGCATTCTTATAAAAAGTTTAGTTTTTGAATTTTGTTTAATGAAAATTAATAATTAGTAAGTAGTATTTTAAATGAAATGGTGTGTCTGTTCATTTTTTGTTTACTACTTGTGATTTTCAAGATAACTTTTATGGAGTTAGTATATATTTTCTGTAATTTACAATATTCTCCAAAAAAATCTTTTCTTCTCCATCAGGCGTCGATCAAGTTCAATTTTTTTTTACCTAGTTTCCAAATATAACTTCCTCACTATTTACTTAGTGCAGAAAATTATAGGCTTGTGTTGCGTATAATCCCATAATAATCATGTAGTCCTAAACTAAAGTTACATCAAATTTACAAGATTTTCTTTAATCTTGTAGTCTTAAACATACCACATGAAAAGTTGTTAAAAGAAAAAAGGAGGTCATTTTTTTTTAAACAGACTAAATAAAAAAGGAGGGTCATTCTTTTTGAAACGGAGAGAGTAATTCCTACGGAAATGAGTTGATCATTTTGCATGAAATAATACACTAACTTAATTAGGTTAAAGACCCATTTTGCTCTGTTTAAAGTTATATATGTAACAAAGACTTACTATTACTTTTACTGTGCTCCTCATGATCTTTTCTGTTCTACTTTCTGCAAATAAAAGTAATTTTATATATGCGCCCCACATGCAGATTGATTCGTGGATCCGTGATTTAAGTTTTATAAATTCAACGTTTAATATAAGATTCAAACATTAAATATATACTATATTTTAAAAAGTTATGATGTTAAATAGCAATAACAAAAGAATATTTATAATGTTAATCATATCTTTTAGGGAGGTTATATATCACTGATTATAAGTTTATAACTAATCAGTAGCGTCAATACAGTACTACGATATGTATTAATAATATAATAATTAACATAATTAATACTTCGTTAAATGAAACAAATTTAAGTATACATCCCCTCTGATCTGGGTTTTGTAATTTCTTACAAACCCTAGATATCGAAATGATTGCTCTCATCTAAAATTAAAGAACAAGAAAATCAGCTCCATGCCGCATAATACATTACGTAAGTTATTCGTTTTTTTGAGAGCGAAGCATTTTAAGTTTGACATGAAATTTGCGCGTAAATTTTTTTTAAATGAAATTTATATATTTGTAAATTAAGTAAAAAATATTAAAAGTCACAATAATTGACAGTTCAAAATAATTAGTAAAAAATATATGAAAAATTCACAGTCAAATATAGACTTGTATGAATCTTGAAATTTAAAAAGTGTTACGTAAATTGAGACAGAAGAGGAGGGAGTATATCTGAATGTGCATGCAGGCATGGAAGCGATTAAAATTAAGAAAGGTTACGAGGCTTTTCCTAATATAAAACCGATTGTATGAAAATATTTACAAAATTTGATTACTAACCAAATATCAATCTATAATTCCTTAATAGTGCAAAAAAAAATTAAAAATTAAAAATGGTAATGCATGTGTGTGTATAATGTATAAGTATTATTAATTATTAACTTTAATGATTTTTTTTAAAAAATGTTGGAGTGTGTGCTATGGGAAATGAGATAATTAAACTATGAACAGATAGTGACTTATTGGAGTGTAGTACTCAATTATAAGGATGCCATCCAACAAAAATTTAAAGGAATGGCCCATACCAATTTTCACTTTTTCTAAAGCAGTGAAAGGTTTCTCATGTGGTCCTAATATATATATAAGAAGAAAATAATTATGTCATAAAAGAGAGAATTTATTTGAGTTTCTTATGATGATTATCTTAATTTGATATACTAGAATCGGAATTGAAATTAATTTTACTATTTTTGTGAAATAATGATAAAATTATCTGCATATATTTCATCATTTTAAGATCGAGATTTCATTGAATATTTCATATTGTTATAATAGAGAAGACGATAGATTTATTGATGTGAACAAATAATAATTGTACTAATTAATAATAATAATAATAATAGTCAAAGAGCATGCAAATTATTAGCCGGGCTAAACTTTTAGGAGGTTAAAAGTATTTATTTAGAAAGATAGTGTTTGACCAAATATTTTTGGGGGTAATGTAATATAAATTGTTTTTCAAAAACTTAAAAAAAGAATTATATTTTTTTTAACTTATAGTACTTAAAATTTCTTGAAGAACATTCTTTAGAAAAAAAATATACTTTTAAGCACTTTTCAAATAGTTTCGCTAAACATTAATAGTTGATCAAAAGTGTTTTAGAAATTTAATGGCCTAACATAAACTAATTCTCACTAAAGTAATATACCTTTTTTAAAATAAGCTAATTTTAGAAGTTTACTCAATCTATAAATATATACCATCCTAATAAATACTTAGTAAAAAAGAACAATTCTTGCAAATGAGAGAGAGGAACTATAGTTCAATTTTTATTTTAAAGGAATTTCAGAAAAAAAATGTTACAAAATTAATTAAATGTGAGTGATTTGAGAAAAGGGTGGATTGGTCAAATTATAATCCTTTTACATTAATAATAGACCGTTTAAATGTAATGTTACAAATAAATAAAAAATAAGAGTGTTAAATATGTCCAAGAAAATTCAGAAGCAACAAATAAAAAATAAAAATAAAAAATAAAAAAGAAAAAAGTAAAAAGTAAAAAGTAAAAAAGAAAAGCCCCCGGCGAGGATCGAACTCGCGACCTTTCGCTTACGAAGCGAACGCACTACCACTATGCTACGGAGGCATTTTGATATAACAATATTAGCTAGTCAAAATATTTATCAAAATATAAAATTGGTATTACAAGCAAATAGAGAGTGCTCGCGTATGAGGGATGACTAATCTCAAAATTAATTTTCAGATGAATTTATTCCATGTTTGATTAAGATAGTATCGCTAGAATAACTAATCTCGAGACAATTAATCCTGAGATAACTTGTTTAAAAAAAATGAGCCGCCTCATCCGTATGCATACCCAAAATTGGAGAAGGGTTTTGAGTTAGTAAAATATATCTGGGATCAATTTATTCAAACACATGGATTGTGGTATACTTAGTCCAACTCACATTTTTTTGTTTGGATTGACTTTCGACTTATGACTTATAAGCTAAAAGTCATAAGTTAGGAATCCTAACTTATGACTTTTGGGTTATTTTCTTATTTTGACTTTAAAATAAGTGCTTATAAGCACTTCAAAACTGCTTAAAAGTTATCTCGACTTAAAAAGCACCTAAAATAAGTCCATCCAAACGGACATTCAATCATTTGGCATCTTGTTTGGGGTTGATTGGCAAATCCACATCCATTCTTTTGTATTGTTCCTCAATTGTGTGATGAGCAAAAGTAAATACTAGTACAATAATCAGTAAATGTTATTTCTATTACCAAACAAAAGAACAGATTAGTCTGCTAAGTCACAAGGACTATTTAAGTATAATATTTCAAGTATAACAGTTTCAAAAAGTGCATGTTCGCAGGGATTAGTACAAAACTTAGCCCAAATAACTTAACTGGGACGGAAATAACTAGACATGTTTGAGTTAGGGATAAGGTTAAATATATGCATATTCTGTTCTTAGATGTGCTGACTGAAGCCAAATGTTCTACTTTCTTGCCAGTATCCAAAAGCTATTGGCCAAATATATATGATACAAAAGGACACCCGTTGCAGAAATCGAGTCTTCTATCAATATTGACATTTATAAGTAGAGTATTTATTAGCACCACTTTCTTGTGAATATGTAGCGGCTGCAATAACCTTGCGATAGTAACGCCAAGATGCATTCTTATCAGTGATAGGTCGTTGACCATATGGGTTATTCTCTACATACTTCTGAACATTTTCTGCCATGGCTAATCCTTCAAGATAAACACGCAGATCACCACCAGGCCCTGCCGTGGATAAACAAGATGAATTTCATAAATAGCATGAGTTGGACAAATGTCGATGACTGACCAACATCCCTACCCCATACAGGACAGAATGACACAGTGCTAAGGCAGTCATATTAAGTAATGTAAATTGCTTTAATTACATAGAACTCAAAGTATGAAATCCAGGAACTGTAAAGTGAGGAACTATCAACGGCAATTTAAAAGGCGTGTACAAAAGGAAAGCACAAGAGAAACACACACAGATGTTCACCCGAAAAGATACATGGAATACTTTGGGTGTCCAAACATCAACAGTCTCTCAATGAAGGGCGAAGAAGTCTATAGTACTTGTGATAGTTTTGCAAGGAAAAACACACACAGATGCACACACACGAACACATATAGGAAGAAAACTCACCTAATGAGTCATCTTTCTCATCCAAGTAGTGGTATGAATTTGGAAATATTGCTGTATTTGGCTGAAAACCATAAAATAAAAGTTGAAACTCATTGGATTTTAGTCATGCAGTAAACTTCTCAGGCAGAAGAAAGGATTAAAACTCACGGGATTACACAATGCTTTGTGCGGAGAGTCGTCCAATAGAAGTGTGTTTGACTCATCATATTCACCCCTCTCCCACGGAAGATCTGGTTCATACTTATCCCATAACTTTTTTAGATTCTTCAATATAATAGGCTTGCTCCTCCTTGTCCCAACAACAGGAAAACCTGTGTCAGTGCAGTGGGACTGGTCCTGCATAATTAGTTTCAAGTTTGTTTATACTACATTGAAATAGACAAGTGAAAGAGGCAAAATAGGGAACTAGATGAATAAATACAAAGGGGAAAAAAGTGGCTTTGGTTGGAAAATAGCAACTTAGCAAATACATAATTTATTCTCTCACAAAAAGAAAATAAATGACTGAAAAATTATACTTGACAATCCGGACAGGAATTCTATGTGTTGGGTCACACAATCAAGTAGGTAGAACCAGAAAAACTACATTCATATAGACATCTAAGATACACAATGTGTTCATCCAACCAGGTTTCCAAATCTTTAAAAAATAACTACTAAAGAG